CTAAAGCTTACCAATAGGCCCCAACTCATGACCCCTATCTTTAGAATAACTGAAAGAGATAGAATTGGGATAAGTGTTGATTGCTGAGAAATCATGTTACAAAACATACAGTTCAGGAGGATATGTGCCAGTTTGAAGCATTTTACTGTCTTAACTTAGAAAGAACAAGACCTCATTAATAGCACTATAAGTGCACACACAGCTAATTCCAACCAAAAAAAGGATGCTGAACAGTTAACAAAGCCCTTACCCTCACGAACTTCCAATTTGCAGATGCCTGGGCAAGTAGAGCACAAACCACACTACAGAGTGGCATCTGATCACAAATGGAATGGTTCCCAGAAACAGATGGCGTTTCAGGACACTTTGAAGGAAGAAAGAAAAAATAAATGACACAAACTTTTTTTTCCTAGATAAAACATAGTTTTATGTTGATGTAAACAGTACTTTGTGAAAGGGAATGATGATAACTACATGCATTAATTTACAGTCCCCCTCTAAGGTCTAAGAGGAAAGTGTTGAGAGACCTACTGATACAGAAGAGACTCATAAAATAAACAGACAAATGCCTGCTGGCAACTTCCCAGGCTCTGATGGATTCTCGTGTGAATGTTAGTAAACTTTAGTAGAGGATCACGCACCAAGCTTGCCAGTTTAATTGTTTCCTAGAATCCTCTCAAATTCCAAGATTGATGGGAAAAGCTGGTATTTCATCATTTGAAACCCAACAAAAACAAAAAAAGTTTGTACCACTTGTAGCTCTGTTTCTCTAATAAATATTGATTAAAGTTAATAGTCAAATATCTCTAATGCTTCTATACATGAGGAACAAGACAGGGGTTTTTTTTAAATCTGGCAAAGAGGGAATCATTTATAAGACTTAACTGTTACCCAGGAAATAAAGGTGTGGACATACAAGCTAGTTTTTACAGGAGAAAAGGGGGCATAGCTTTATTATGCATTTGCAGCGATTTCCCATATGGTGTATGCTCTTCTTACCCCACAGTTAACGAAAGCAAATACACTGCATGTTATCCCTCAGTGAGAGAGGGAAACCTACCATAGTTTAGTTTGCATCTATCAAAGAGTAACTAAAACTCTGTGTCTTCTTTCTATGAGGTAACTAGTTTGTGGGCTCATGCCCTAGTTCGTTACCATTTGAGAATTTTTGATGCCTTGGGAAACACACAACTGAAATCCAGGCTGATATTTCTTACATACAGCTGTATGCTAGGCTGATGTTTCTTATCTGTTAGATGGATCCTACCAATTAGCTAA